ACCCAGTGTCAACCATCTTTCGATGTCTTCGACACTAGCATCACCTGCATTCGCCAGACGATGTGCGCGCAAGAGCAACAAAGCTGTGTTCTTGAAATACTCAGCCATGATGCTAGTTACTCAACTGAGCAGATTTGACAAATCCATCGCGTTATATTCATTACTCGTCAATGCTGATTGGTTGGAAAAAGTATAGAGGGGGGTGAACGATTGTGATTGATCGAAAAATTATAGTGGGGCATCAACAAGTGCAAGCTCAGTATAAAAAGACATTCATTCGTCTGTATTGACGCAGTCGTCGACGTCGATTCCTCAGTTACTACGATGGATTTTGTTGTAGACGTACAGGGCTTCAAAACTAGCTTAAACGAATTCGTATTCAAGGAGATTGCTGTTTGTCCTCTGGAAGAAGATCCAACTCCATCTGTGCTTCTGTTTAAACCACCTTACCCATGGGAGTGGTTATTAAAGAAAAATCAGTGTGAAAACCGGTGGTTAGCGAGAAATTTTCATGGTATTCCGTGGGAATCTGGCAATTTACCGTACGACGATCTTGGAAAAATAATCAAAAAAACACTTTTTGGAGCAACTATTTTTGTCAAAGGTCTTGAAAAAACAAAATGGCTGAGAAATTTGTTGACCAATGCACAGTAAGTGTCTTTTCGTCGCGTATCATCTTAAAGAGAAAAAAAATGATATCTAATGATTTTTTTTTACAGAACGACTGTGGTTAACGTTGAAGATTTGGGTTGTCCATCACTCAAGAATATTTCAAACGATAGCATTTCCGTATGCAGTAACCACAACGCGTATCTATCAAATCCACCGTGTGCCTTTAAAAACGCGCTGGCTATCAGTAGATGGATGCTCGCTCGCACAAGTCGTGATATGTAATTTGATTTTTTTATATTTAAGTTTGAAAAATAAATTTTAAAAATTAACGTATCGATCAATCCTTGTTTTTACTCATTTATAATATATAAATTTTAGAAACAAAAAAATATAACATTAAAATACAAAAAAATATTAGATTAAAAGAGAAAAAAAGTACACAAACATTTTTTAAAAATAATAGGAACTTTATTAAAACCAAACAAGAACAAATTTACGCAAAATAAGCACGAACGCGTTTGCTAATAGTTTGACGACATATTGGACAATCGTCAATTCTTGATGCACATTCCATGCATACAGTGATATGTCCACAAGGTAAAAAAAGTACAGCGATCCTAGCATCCAAACATATCTTACATCTGGTAATTTCAAGTTGACGCAAAATATTGCCTATATCTCGCTGAGACTTTTCAACCCTTTCGCGAATTTTATTCATTTTTTCATTTTGTTTATCGATACTCTTCTTATAACCGCGTACAAATTCTTCGCAAACAGATACCATACCAACAGTTGCATTTGCTATGGTTTTCGAAGCACATTTCTCCGTCAAATGTAAATCGGAAAAAAGCTTAGTAACAAGACTCTCAATCGATAACGATAACGCAGGCTCGTCTGTACTCGAAGGTGGGCTAGTTGTTGCGCACGCTGTTGCTGCCCGATACTCGAGCTTATACGGTCCACAAACATCTTTACTTTTTCTTCGAGGAGGAGGTACCGGTACGGGGCTCAATCCGATCGGCACATTGCCACAACTTCTGTTACGAATGAAAAGGCAGCCGCCATCCCAGCGCTTATGTTCCGTCATAGGGTCGTCACCTTCTTCCCAACGACAGATTTCCATACCACATTCAAAACAGCGTACTTGATCGATCTGCCCCGTATAATAAAAGCCAGCCGCAGCAAGATCTGCTGGTCGTACGTGTGCGCATGTCCATTGAGACGTGAAGCTATCCAGCCTCGCTTGCTCAAATCTGCACAAATAAAAAAATTTTAAAAAAATATATAAAGTGTGTTCTATAAACAATAAAACAAATAATTACCTATAGTTAATCTTGTTGGAACTCATTGTAGAATGTTCGTATAACCTTTCTTCTTTCACACTTTACACTAGTTTACTCTGGATGCGAATGCAACTGCTGATGAGATGCAGCTCATTTTTATAACGAACGATTGAGATTTCCCCTTCCATCCTCCATTAAAAAATTCCATACATGCCATACATGCCATACATTCCATTCATTCCATACATGCCATACATTGCATAAAAAAATTCATTTAATTTTTATGAGTTATACATACACGTGCGCACGCGTATGCGTATGTAAAGCATACAACTTGTGGGGAATTGACTCAACGGCCTATGCGAGTGACGTCATTTAAAACTGTCGCATATACGCACTGATTTTTAATAACGATATTTTAATTATTTTTAATTGAGAAGAAATTACCTATCCTTTCTGTTGAATTTAATTGTTGACAATTTACATATAAATAATTAATTGTCTACATCTAATACTCTATAAGAAAAAATTAGTAACATTATTTATCGAATTTTTTTCTCGTAATAATCTTTCGGTAATATTAAAACTGTCGCATATACGCACTGATTTTTAGAGACATTTTTTTTGTTGTTGTTATTTTTAATAACGATATTTTAATTATTTTTAATTATTTATCGAATTTTTTTTCTCGTAATAATCTTTCGGTAATAGATATACAGGAGAATCGAACCTAGCCTCCTTTGCATCTATACGACAGTGCTCTACCGTCTGAGTTATTGTCGCTCTTTCTAAAGATAGTGCATACTAACTGTATATTATTTTATGATTTAGGAAAAAAAATTATCGTTTTTTTTTAGTATTATTTTGTACACTGAATTAAACGAACTATTTTTATTGTGTATATTTTTTAACTAATTAAAAATATACTTACCTTATACTTACCTGCTTGTTTCGCTGAAAATGGAGGGGGGGGGGGCGTAAGAATAAAGAAAAACACAAGGTTGAATTTATTCGTAATTTCAAATTGTTATTGTTTTAGTACTTACCTTTGCGGCTACGATATATTTGCACATACGTTTGAATAGCACTTAAAAGTGCTGATTTTTAAAAAAATTATATAAGTTTTTTTTATTAAACAAATAGTTAGTCTATGTTATATTTAACCATACGTTTGAATAGCACTGAAAAGAGCTGATTTATAAAAAAATAATATAAGATTTTTTTTATTGAAAATTTAGCACTGCAAAAAAAAGTGGCCCAGAAAAGGAAAAAAATACTTACCTTATACTTACCTGCTTGTTTCGCTGAAAATGGGAGGGGCGGGGGGGGGGGGGGGGGGGGGGGGGGGTAAGAATAAAGAAAAACACAAGGTTGAATTTATTCGTAATTTCAAATTGTTATTGTTTTAGTACTTACCTTTGCGGCTACGATATATTTGCACATACGTTTGAATAGCACTTAAAAGTGCTGATTTTTTAAAAAAATTATATAAGTTTTTTTATTAAACAAATAGTTAGTCTATGTTATATTTAACCATACGTTTGAATAGCACTGAAAAGTGCTGCTTTATAAAAAAATAATATAAATTTTTTTTATTGAAAATTTAGCACTGAAAAGTGCTGTTTTAAATTGATCATGATATCGATTAACTGTCGGGATTGTACAGCTTCGTCAACTTGAAAAAAAAAAAAAAAAGTGGCCCAGAAAAGGGCCGATCGTTCGTTCGCTGCAACTTGTCACTGCCAACGGCTTGCCACCACCTACTCTTCGTCCGTTGCGTGAGAAATAAAGAGCGTACGCGCTATCGCGATCCTATATTAATACACATTGGCGTCTCTTCTCCGCACTAATCACATTTTCATTAGCTACTCCCACCACTAATTATGATTGTCTTATGCGTGCGACAAAATCAGTGCTGTCGCGTATCTCGCATCCCTACTCCCAAATCTTCGACCAATGACCGAAACGCGGCTAGTGTTTCAAAAGATGAATAAAAATTCGAACGCCTTGCAACGATACGTCATTGTGATTTTTTTGTCGTGGAGTTGTGAAGTGTTTAGTAAAATGAGTGATGAACGGGTGGAAAATTTGTTTTCCTTGGACGATGCGTCGTGGCAAGACGCACTTAATGAAGCGATCGAGGCGTTGGGCGAGGACATCGATCTTTCCGAAGATGAAGTCTTCGGATTGATCGATTTACCGGTGCAAGAAGCAGCGGTGGACGAAGTCGTCGTCGAGCAGCCGCGAACACCTTCGCCGAGGAGGAGGAACGACGACGACGACATCCACGAAGCGGCAACCATTCGGATGCCGCTGACACCTCCACCTTCAATATTGTAAGTACATTTTTTTCATTCTCTTTTACCCTCTCTCTCTCATTCTGTTTTTTTATAATTAATACCATTATACTAATAAAATGTTATTAGTTATACATAAATTTTTTAAAAATAATAAGAGCATATATGTTCTTAAATTAAAAAAAGAGATTCTGTTCTTTTTTATACATAAATTTTTTAAAAATAATAAGAGCATATATGTTCTTAAATTCTTTCTGTATACTAATAACACAATTATATATCTAATAATATTGTATTAATAAATTGATAAAATTTTATATAGATAATTTATCAATTTATTAATGTAAAAGTATTATTCGTTATATAATATGTATGTACGTGTGTATATGAGAGAGAGTATATACTCCAATTTTAAATTTAACATTCTTTTCTCTCGCGTACTTAAAATTTCTTATTTTGCGATGTCCGGTTTTCGTCGTCGTAGTCGCGTTATCGGCATAATATAAATATAAGTGTTTCCGATTACAGCAGGCATCGGACAGCGCCACTCTAATTACCGCCACCGTCTCCATGCTCCCGATCGTCTTCAACGGTGAATGTGTAAGTTGAATATTTATTATACAGATAGATATATGAAACGATTTTTTTTTCAAAATAAAGAATCTTTTTTTTTTTTTTTTTTGCAGGTCTGATGACGACGACGACGACATGGAGATGGTCTGCGAGGTGATTGTCTCGCGTCGACCACCACCACCACCACCATCACGACGCGTGACATGCGTCGACCTGGTGACGCCTCGAGGAGCACCCGTGATGATGATCGACATCACAACGCCACAACAGCCGCTCTTGGTGAACTTAGTTTCACCACCAGCGATACAAGAGACGTCCTGCCGCCAACGAGAACAGGTATGATTCTTTTTTTCTCTTTTCTTTTTTTTTTAATCGGCAGTGGTATGTTCTAAGTCTTTTTTTTCATTTTTTTTTGTTGCAGGTCGGCGATCACAACAACACCATGCCAGTATGCGGGGGCTGGGAGTGCGCACACTGCGTCGCTGGTCGCTGCAGTCGGCAGCCGCAGTGGGTGGAATCACCACCGCAGCGCGGCAGCAGGCGGCACGTCGATCGGAACGGGCCGGTCAGACAGGTGGTGCGAAGATTATTCGCATCACGGTCGAGCAGTCCCGAAGATTCCCCCGCTGTGCGCCAGCCTTCTCGGTCGCCGTCGCCAGCTCCGTTGAGTAGGCAGCTTTCTAGATCGCCCGCGGAATTATCCACAACGGCGCTCATGCAGAGTCTCCGCATCGCGGGGAAAAAGCGCCTGCGCGTCACGGACGAAACCGTCGACGGCGCCCCGCGGTACAAAATAGCAAAATTTTTCACCGCTGACGACGACGACGACGACGACGACGACGACGACGGCGACGACGGCGACGGCGACGACGGCGACGACGATGACGATGACGACGACGACGATGACGACGACGACGACGACGACGACGACGACGACGACGCCGATGATAATGATGATGGCGAAAACTAGGCGTTAGTTTTTTATACATTTTTGTACATTTTTTTTGTATTTTTTTGTACATTTTTTGTATTTTTTGTAGATTTTTTATATTTTGTTATATAATAAATAATTATTAATAACAATGTCTTTTCTTATAAATAATTATTAATAATATATCTTTTCTTATTTCAGCGATCAGACACACACACACACACACACACACACACACACACACACACACACACACACACATTGATAATATATCTATATAATAAATATCTATTTATAACATTTATTAAAATTTATTGTATTAGCGCTTGGGCCCTCCCCAGCAGCAGCAGCAGCAGCAGCAGCAGCAGCCGCCGGCGCCGCCGCCCCCCCCCACATATCAATCGTGTGTGTAGCCAGTATACACAATACGGTATTGCCCGTGGTAACAGTGGCTGTAGCTCTAGCGGTAGAGCATCGGCCTGCGGATCCGGAGGTCGCGCGTTCGATCCCCCGATCCGTCCGTTTTTTTTCAGATAAATCTAAAAATTTTTAACACGCGCGCGCGCGCGCACACACACACACACACACACAATAAAACAATCAAAACGCGTAACACAGAACGCGCGCGCAGTGCATAGGAATCAAATCAGTGGGAGAGGGGGAAATGCAGAGAACGCACGCCACATCAGATCAAGCCACATCAGATCAACTCAGTAGGGGAGGGGGAGTGCGTAGAACGCACCGGTATAACTCAGTAGGAGGGGGGGGGGGAGTCGACAGCGCACGGGCCGATCGGGGGGGGGGGGGTGAGGTGAACATGCACACACCTCAACTCACACGCTTCAACTCAGTGAGCTAGTACCCCTCTGAGTTGATGCCCCTCTAGTTTACCTACTCGTGTGCATGAATTTTTCGCTTTCTGCCCTAGTCGCTAAATATACTATAGATTCAGGCTGACTGAAAAATAGATGAGAAAAAACCGTAAAAGATACTATAAGCGAATTACTCAGGTGGAAATAAATTCATGTTCATAATTGTAAATAACGGACAACAACTGTTATTTACAATTATCAATACGTAGTATTTATCAGTTCGTAAATGTCTGATTTTAGACGCACATAATAGTTATATGCAGTTATTTTCAATGAAAGTTAATAATCATTATACACTAATAAAAGCAACGTATAACTGTTTAGAACATTTATTTCCATTTTGAATGATAAAAATGTGGATTTTAGAAAATGTGTATAACTGTTTATAACTGTTATATATGTCCCAAATCAAACGTTTCTAATCTCTTTGAAACTACGTATAACTCATATTAACAGATGTCTGCAAAAATAGAAAAAGAATGTTATTATAAAAAGTGTATATAAATAAGGTGATACAATGAATAGAGTTATGTTAAAGGCGGTTCCGTGCAGATGAGGCAACGTGTGCTTTCTAGTTCCGAATACAAATGAATAAAAAATGATAACATAAAGATCGAAAAATACAAACATAAGATGCATATGTTCTGTGGTGATAATAAAAAGATCATAAGTGCAATTTTCGTCTAGGGTAAAAGAATTAATTTTCATTTTTAACGACTTTATAGCTTTTAATGAAAAATGATAAATCAAAACTATATTTTCTATACAGAATATATATCTGATTTAATATAATTCTAGTTTTTAGTAATAAGTTTTGTAAAAAAGTGAAAATATATGGTATTATCACCACAGATATATGCTTGTAACATAAATTTGTTGCCTAAGTTATAGACATGAGAAAATTACATATAATGAGGTATTTCAGCCATACTAGTATGTGATTATCAGTCAAACCCTGCACCATGCATAAAGAAAATATAAATTTTACAGTAAATAACATATATTTACCAACATATACTATGTTATTTTTCAATTTTTGGTTTGGGTAATACAATGCACTCTTATGTGTCTATATGTATGTATATATGTATGTATACATATTATATATACATAAGATAAACACGCACAAGTGCACAGACACACACACACATATATATATGCACTTATGCTCGTACTCGGATACGATATCTCCTCCGGATTGAGCCAGCATATGACTGAAATAATAGAATTAAAAATAAATTTAACAAATAAGTGCTAATATAATATCTGTAACGTAGAAAATGATATTTTCAATATCTGCTGTACAATCATAATAATGTATGTAAAGTTACGAATGAACGAAGTTTTGACAAGAATTCTCTGATTTTATAATTGATATTTGCTAAATTCTCTTGCATAATTGAGAAATAAGGTTTAGTTGACGGGATAGCCCGTATAATCAAAAAATAATTTTTGTATGTAAAACTAAGGCGTTATAATTAAGATAATTATATTTACCAAATCTGATCTGAATTGTTTATCAGTTTTTATTTTCCCGTCTACGAAGGCAACCTCTTTTCATCCTGATCATCGGCTCGATCGTTGGTCATAGGAAAGTGCTTCATCATCTTATCAATCATTTCTTGTGAAACGGCTGTTGGAGATTCATTTGCCCACATTTGGGTGCGTTCAATTTTTTTGCTCATGTTATCGAGTTTCATTTCTACTACAGTGATTTTAGTCATAATTTTTTTTTTTTGCAATTCTGTAAAAATATTTATACAAATATGGAAGATTATAAAAATATTTATTCAGAAAGAGGATACAGCACATGAAGTTCACAAAAGCTTCAAGAGCTTGAGAAAAATGGTGAAAAATCTGGTAGAGTTCATTATCGAAAAGAACCTTGACGCAGAACTAAAGATTATATGTCAGAAGGGCAGACCGTACGATTGAAGACTATTACTTACCAAAAACAGTCTTGAGCATAGTCTCCACCTTCGGTAGTATACTGGAGTCTTCTGTTCTTAATTCAGGTGACTCATAGTCATCTATATTTGATAAAGAAAGATTGCTCAGTTTCACAGCCTTCGTTATCTACGCTCTGAACATTGATCTCTCTGTCATCGTCAGCACCTCTTTCTTCATTATCATCATCGCTATCAACGATCGTTTTGTTTTCCTGACCTGATGTAGAAGCTTCATGAGTATTTAAAGTTGAACTTCGAACAATTTTTACTTGCAGGAAAGGCGATTTGAATTTAATCGAAGGTGAAGCAACTTTTTTATTCCTCGCGCCTCTGGTAGCCTTAAGTTTTTCCTCGTTGCTCGCATCAGTTAAGTGGTCTATATATGGAAATTTTGACTCTTTTGTCGCGTCGACATAATCATCTAAAAAATAGTTATTGTTACATTTCAGTTATTTGAATAAATTCCGTTAAGGGCACAAGTCGTGTGAAACAAGAAAACGTTAATGTCTTCTATATTTGTCTATTCTTTTTTCCTAATCAAAATATCATTATGAACCTTTTTTCGTGGAACATTATTTTTTTTCAAATGTTCAGCTCTGGAAAAGATTCTGTACCTAGATTAATGAGCGACAATCAATCCGGAAAAGCTTATTTCATCCGTTACTATCCGACCTTCTCAAATTTGAGCGAAACATTTTGTTAAGAAAGTCGATTTTTCGATATTTTTTATTCGATTAAACAAAAAACAATTTTCTTTTCGTTTCCATTAGTCTTGACAAAATAAATAGAAACCTAGATTTAAAAAATATATATACCTATTTCTGGACTTATAAAACTGAAAATGGTACTTATTCAAAGGTCGCGGCAGCGACCTGAAGCATGAATGCCGAAGGCGCAGCTTGCGCGACTACTACACACGATGACTTTCGAAACAGCAGATACAATTATATTTAAATAAATATATTTGACTCGTATGAACAATATAATTTATCTGTATTTGATATATATTAACCGTTTGATTAATTTTATTTTATTAGAACACTTTATAATAAAAAAAGGTCAACGATATTTTAATTAGAGCAATTGAAGTAAAGACTTCAACGTTTCCTTGTTTATCACTGACTTATTTATAGCCTTATGTAATATCGATATACACACTAGATGTACCAAAATATATGCAATAAATAGGTTTTCCGCATTTAAATTCACTATTTGAGAACGTGAAGTTCTGGGATCAGCTCCAGTGTCTTTGATAAGAAAAATTAATTGAATCCTAAAGTATGAATCCCCCAAGCCGTAGAAAATTTGGATATATTACATCTCAAAGTTTGAAAATTTTGCGGCTTTTAAAATGAGCTCTTATGGAGATAAGACAAAAAATATTGGAATTTAACTTATGGTGGAAAACTAACATATTAAGGAGGTTCCAGCGCGAAAAGTTTATCGATTTGGTATAGTTATTTGAATATACAGGGTATCCAAAAAGATCCGAGACACCCCAGTAAGTCCTGAGATATAACTATTTCCGATGAGATCAAGGTCATTCCTGTAGTAACTTTGAACGAGGAATCCAGTGGTGACCTTGGTTTTGACCTTGAGCTTGACCTTCAAGGTCATTTCAAGGTCAACTTTTTTTTCAAATGGGAACCCCTATTTTTGACAACCGTAATCGAAAGAGCGGGAAATTTTACGTCCAAAACGGTATTTTAAATTTTTTTTTCATGGCCTTGAGAAGGTCGATTTAAGGTCAAATGCTTGAAAAACTGCCTAAAAGCGTTTTTTTAATTTTTAAGATATCGAAAAATGACCACTACAAAGTTTGTTCAGAACAGAGTGGGCCACCCAATGCACCAAAAACCTTTGACCTTTAACCTCATTTTGAAGGTCATTTCAAGGTCGAAGTGTTTTTTGTAATGGAAACCCCTATTTTTGACCCCGGATTCGCACATAGCGCGAAATCAGAAAGAAACATTCAAAACGCAGTGAGTGGAAAAAACTTATCCGGCAAAAAAACTGTACCTATGTCTCTGCTTGCTCCTCATTTAAAACAACTTGACTTTCGGTTTGGATAACCCGTTACTTTATTATTCAAACAATCAAAGGTGACCTTGAAATAACCTTAAAATGATCTTGAAGGTCAAAGATAAGGTCACTGTAACATGCTCCCAGTAGAATTTAATAAATTTAGCCCGAAACATTTTGTAAATGTTTCGCGAATAATATTAGATCTAAATTTCACATGACCTTAGCGATGAACGTCGTGGATCAATCGAAACTCAACATAATACCTTATCCAAACGTCGGATTTCGCGCTATGTGCGAATCCGGGGTCGAAAAGAGGGGTTTCCATTACAAAAAACACTTCGACCTTGAAATGACCTTCAAAATGAGGTTAAAGGTCAAAAGTTTTTGGTGCATTGAGTGGCCCACTCTGTTCTGAACAAATTTTTTAGAGGTCATTTTTCGATATCTTAAAAATTAAAAAATTGATTTCAGGCAGTTTTTCAAGCATTTGACCTTAAATCGACCTTCTCAAGGCCATGAAAAAAAAATTTTAAAATACCGTTTTGGACGTAAAATTTCCCGCTTTTTCGATTACTGTTGTCAAAAATAGGGGTTCCCATTTGAAAAAAAAGTTGACCTTGAAATGACCTTGAAGGTCAAGCTCAAGGTCAAAACCAAGGTCACCACTGGATTCCCCGTTCAAAGTTACTACAGGAATGACCTTAATCTCCTCGGAAATAGTAATATCTCAGGACTTACTGGGGTGTCCCGGAACTTTTTGGACACCCTGTATAGTATATAAAACCAATTTCACGATTTTCTACATATATTTTGGTGTAAGTAGGTAAACTAGAGAGGCACCAACTCAGAGGGGTATCAGCTCACTGAGTTGAAGCGTGTGAGTTGACGTGTGTGCATGTTCACCTCACCCCCCCCCCCTGCTAATCGTCCCGTGCGCTGTCGACTCCCCCCCCACCCCTCCTACTAAGTTATACCGGTGCGTTCTACGCACTCCCCCTCCCCTACTGAGTTGATCTGATGTGGCTTGATCTGATGTGGCGTGCATTCTCTGCATTTACCCCTCTCCCACTGATTTGATTCCTATGCACTGCGCGCGCGTTCTGTGTTACGCTTTTTGATTGTTTTATTGTGTGTGTGTGTTTGTGTGTGTGTGTGTGCGCGCGCGTGTGTTAAAAATTTTTAGATTTATCTGAAAAAAAACGGACGGATCGGGGGATCGAACGCGCGTCCTCCGGATCCGCAGGCCGATGCTCTACCGCTAGAGCTACAGCCACTGTTACCACGGGCAATACCGTATTGTGTATACTGGCTACACACGCGATTGATATGTGGAGGCGGCGGCGCCGGCGGCTGCTGCTGCTGCTGCTGCTGCTGGGGAGGGCCCAAGCGCTAATACATACAAATGATAATAAATTTTAATAAATATTTATTATAATTGGTATATAACGAATAATAATTTTTTTATGTTCGATGTGTGCGCGCGGGCGCGCGTGCGTGCGTGCATGCGTGTCTCATCTACCGAAGATGGTTTAATAGAAAAAAAACGTGCAAGTACATGCTTACTTTCTTTTATTTGTAGACTTCGTGGTTGTAAGCTACTATAAATAGCACAGTGTAAGAATTATCGAATCTTTCATCAACCAGCATTCCAATAAAATGGATCGCTACTCTAAAGTAAAGTACTCTCGTCTTCCACAGGAAGACCCGGACGAAAAGAAGAACAAAGAATCATCGACATGGAAACAAAGTATGTCCAAATTTTCGAGCAATACTAAAAATTTTCCTGGACAAAAAGGCTATCAGCAGTTCAATAACGAAAAGAAGAAATAATCATATTTATACATGTCATCATTGTACACCACCTCAACTAACAAATAAACATTTTTTTGTCTAAATTCTATGTTGTATAAATTTTTTTGTTGATAAAAAATACAAAATTTATTATAAAAAAGATGAACTGCTGCTGCTGCTGCTGTCATCGTCAGAGTCAGCGAAGAATTTCGCTTTTTTTTTTGTTGAATGGTATAATAAAAGATAAAAGAACATTTTTTTGTATCAATTCAAAAAAATATTCAGTGAAACAAAATTTTTTTTATTGATAAAAAATATATCTTATTCTACGTGTTCTTAAAAAAATATATATTATTCTACAAAGTATTTACTTAAAAACAAAATCACTATAGAAATCCTTCAACGACTTCATCGCTCTCTTCCCAATCCATACAACAGCCATCGATATAAAACTTTTTCATTATTTTAACATTTTGATGTGCACATGTCGTTACGTATTTGCCGTTATGATTAGGGCACACGGTAACTGATTTTAATTTTTCGAAAGGCGAATAGCCCCAATCATTCAAATCGAAAACTTTGAGGCCATATCGTTCTA